AATAAAGTATATTACAATAAATCAATTTCTCTTTCATACCAGATCGAGTTATTTGAACTATTTTATCGTACCCAATACATTGCATTTATTAGCGTCAAACGATAACAATAATAAGATTCAACTTTATGTACAAATAACTGTTGTATTGTAACTTTTTACAAAAAAAAAAACATGCTACAATAGAACGCGAATAAAATATACAATTATTTACAAATCTGTCGCTTATGTAACTAACTTATTCTCAAGGACTTTCATCATACTTCTACCAAGTTTTATGAAATTTTTAATACAATAGATACTCTTAAAAAACTGCTTTTTAATCATCTATATATGCTAACGAAAATAATTTGGACTAATTACTTACTTTTTTTAAAAGTAATGATTATATACAAAAAATTTTAATTGACAAAAGAAAAGTAGAGAACATTTCTGATAGAAGTAACAATGAAAGTACTATTTTATAATACTATTAATCTTGAAAAGTCACTACGAATGCATAGGTGTAGAAGCTGTTTCAAGACGTATCATACTTCTTTGAGAAACACCCTGATTCTTCTGCCGCCATTCAAGCCATCGTAATAGGTCTGGACTTTGTGTTGTATCATTAATATCTGTCCGAGCCTCCAATTGTTGATAATACGCTTCACGTAATAATCGAAATGTTTGAACGTTCTTATATGGCAATTGAGTCATAGGATCCAGATATTTTGCAGGCAGTCTATATAATTTTTTGTAGCTAAGTTTACTTAATCTGCTTCATGAATAAACTTAATTTAAATGTAATATAAAAATGAACACTTTACCTTGTAATCGAACATAAAGCTTTTGACGGTGGTATCTGGGCAGTAGATTTTTTAAATGCATTAGAAAATAATTTTTCATTTTCAAAAGTAATGAATGTTCGTTCGTAAAATCTTTTTGATCCTTCGTAACGTGTTTTTAAGATTGACTCGGTTTTGTTAGTATCCTTCACATCGTTTTCTAATTTTACAACTACATTGCTGAAATTTATTTCATCTGCATGAGAATACTAGCTGATATTTTATAAACGTATCTACATTTTACCTGTTTTCAAATCCATCTGAACTTCTAGTTTCAGAATTCGCATTTATACTTTTTTCATCATCTCTCTCAATATTAATTTTATTGTCTTCTTTGTCAACGTTCACTTCAGAGAGCACCATAACTGGCATTGATAGAGATTGATACCTAATCATAGGTCCAGTTTGTGCTTTTCTTACTGTTCTAGTATTTTTCTTTTCATTTTCTAATTTCTGATATTTCTCTGTAATATACAGGATGTCCCATAATTATGTTAAAACCCGGAAAGGGGTGATTCCTGAGGTCATTTGAAGTAACTTTTTCCTCAGCAAAAGTATAATTCGCGACTTTGCGAACGAAAAACAGTGACCAATGAGAGGCGAGATCAGCTGGCGCGAGGCGACAGAGTCAATGAGCGGAGTAGCTGAGTCAATAAGTTTTGACTGCTCATTGGCATGGCCGCCTCGCGCCAGCTGATCTTGCCTCTTATCGGTCACTGTTTTTCGTTAATAACTCGTAAACAAAGTCGCGAATTGCTTTTTCGCTAAGGACGAAGTTTCTTTAAATGACCTCGGGAATCACCCCTTTCCAGGTGTTAACATAATTATGGGACACCCTGTACACAGTGATTGCAAGTATTGTAGGTCATAGGTGTCAGTATCCTTTCAAAATCAAATAATCATTATTAAAATTTTACCCAATGATTTCACATTAATTTGTTCAGTCTCTAAAGCTTCCTCTAACAATTCTTCCTGAGTCGGTTTCCATATATCATGTCTTATGACTCTTGTTTTTCTTTTCTGATCTTCATTCCTTTCACGCAATCGTCTCTGTGTTGCAGCTGATTTTGCAGCAGTTGAACGGCGTATAGATTTTCTTTCTGCAAAAATTTATATTCCTTTTCGTCCTTACATCCATGAAATATAATAAAATTTGATTTTCTTTAAAAATATTGACCTGTACTTTCTATGAAATGTTTATGATGCTTTGGTTGTCTCACTTTCTTCTCTTTCTGTGGCAGTTGCGACTGAACTTTAGGTTCCTTATAAGCTTTTGTCACTAATCTACGTTTCTTTTTAGGCCCTTCCTGCTCTGTGTCTGAAATTGGTTCATCATTTTCATCTATACTGAAATCAGAGTCTACTTCGTCTTCCCCTTCATCTTCTTCCCTGTAATTACAAATCTTTAGATATTATTACACTTTGCTTTTACAGACATTATTAGGTCATACAGTACAACAGTAATAGTAATTGATGATAACATATAACTTTGCAACGATCAAACTGTGAGTGATAAATGAATACATTACATAATCTAGAAATAAAAAGCAATGAAATATTAACATGTAATCATGATCTTGTTCAGTTTCATCAAAACCACCATAAGTAGTTTTGTAAAAATCATCCTCTTCCTCTTCATTCAATAACTTTGCCATTTTATTACCGGCATTTGAACGTCTTTCCCTGCTTGATGCCATTTTTGTAATCACGTATATTCTTCTTCACTAAAATTATTCTCGTTGTTTGTTTTTTCTTCTTGTTACTGATAAATAGGTTAACTCTGATTAAGTTCCCAATGATAGTACACAAACTTATGTACATATATACGAATTAGCTATCACTTTTGATAATAAATAACGAGTTATTGTCATATCATGCGAAATACTTATATAATTTAATTTAAAACATTAAAAACTTGTTTTTTAACTACTATTTAGATCATAGATAATCGTTGCCTCCTTACTTGTTTGTATACTATCGAGCGCTGTTTGCAATCGATAATCGACAGTAATGCTGTCGACCATATTCTACAGTTATCTCGATAATAGTCGATTAATATTTGAAAAAATTTCGCGGCTTTTAGTTTCGATAGTATATCAAATGATTTAATTCAAAACTCAAATCTTTACGTTGCATTAAATACAACATAATGAGAATTTATACTAATTCAATAAATAAGTAAAAAAGAAATAAACGTTCGCCAATATTGTCTTAAAGACAACAGTAACAAATAATTACACACAAGGGAAATGCGATTACATGTTATCAATTTTATTGTATTATTCCTTATACAATTTTTACAATAATATAGCATGAAATCTGATAATATTTGAAAAATCTGTACTATATTAAAATGATCACTCTAACGTATTATGGTAAATCATATCATCTGAAAATAATATTGTAAAGAATATCTTCTGAATGTTAAAAGTATTTTCTGAAATATAAAAAAAACTACTTAGGACAAAACTGTTCTGTCTCAAGAGAGGCCCATGCACTGATGTATAAGCTTTTGTTAATACCATTATTTGACCAGATTACAAGATCATTGATAATTTTTTAAATCAAACCCTATACAATTTATTTATCTATACGAGCATAGAGCGTGGAAAGATACAAATTTCTTGACCTACCCTACATAAACATATTATTCTAGTTACGTAATCTCGAGATATTTATGCCCAAATGTATACAGATATCTTCGTTATGAAATATTGATTCACAGGATGCAGTTCATAACAAGTTTATATGTAAACATTTAAATACAAATATCTGGAGATTGAATAAGAAAAATAATATGTTTATGTCGATCGCGCGTGAACCTTACCTTTTCACGCTCTATGTAGATATAGAAAAATAAATATAGGGTTTCATTTCAAACAGTATATATGACTTTAAAATCTCGTAAAATATTGATATTAGGAAAAAGGTTTATACATTAGTGCACTAGTCCCCTGATGCAGTGCAATTTTATCCTAACAAATTTTGATATTTATAAAATCGTATAAATAAACAAGATATTTAGAATTCATCTGAAACACTCTCTACTTATTCCGACGATATAGGTAATCGGTTATCTGCAAACAAAAGTCATTAAAAAAATTATGGTATCGTTGGGTCAAAGTTGTCGTGTTCAGATCACAATTTTAGCATACGTATCGTATAAAATAGATTAAAAAAATATATAGAATAAATAATAATCATCCATTTAAAATGTTTAAAAAACATCATCCCTCTGCTTCGTCTCGTACAATACGAAACAGGTATGATACGGTAGTTTTGGGAAGATATAAAGAAGAGCTGATTAACAGAGGCTAATCAGCTTGTCGAAAGAGCATTTTTTTAACGATGATTAACGACTGTATGACTCGTGTTTACGCATGCCACCGGTATATATTCGGTACAATCCGTGTCTGTACATCGAGTCTGCTACGGAACACAATTTCAAGCGCATCCTCTGTACGTAACTTCGTCGTCTTCAAATACATCCGCTGACAACATGCAGAAGAACATGCAGAAGAACATGTTCAACCAAACCCTCGAGGACATCTTAGAGAAGAACCTTCCAGAGAAAGAATTGTCCGAAGTTAAGCGCCTTCTATACGGCCGTGAATTACAGTAAGATTTATTAATTTTCCATTCGCTTATTAGAAAGTCGCATTAGTATCGCATTCGTAGTATATCTGCAAAATATTTGACCTACGATCACGGTACACGTAGTTTTAGTTACTTTCTACGAACAGAGTTGTGGTCGTTCGTTGCCTCTAATGTTAATATCCACAAAAATAATTTCATGCGTAATATTTTTAGATCATTTCTGCAAAAAAATTGTCTCTATAAATATGCTTCCTTCCATGGACATTGACACCGTGTTGAATCGTTGAGTGAACTGATATATGTATCTAACGCACAGTGATTCTCATATTTTACTAAAATAACGTAGAAAAGTACTGAAGAAAAAAATTACACTATTCAACTTTTAGTTTGGATTTGTAATTTATAAATAGCCATTTCTGATAGACTTTCGCGAACCACATACAAAATGCTTAATCTCTTCTCATTCTCACATGTTGCTTTCGATTAAATACAATTGTACAACGTTAGAAATTTGATCAATTATGAGCTATATTAAAATAGCGAATATACATAGAATTATTGCATGAATACTTTCCTCTTTCAAATATGTACCGGGTAATCATGGAAGATCCACCTTATGCTTTTGGTAATTAAACATAGTACTTTTATTAATTAGGTGCTTGGACCTTCCACAATGGACCGGAAAGACGGAATTGGACGTGAAAGGGTACGTGATGAGCGGTGGAGTGACAGAACAATTGCGCCCTCCGAGTATTGTCCGAGTTGGAATAATTCAACACGCGATTGTTTCACCAACCACTGACCCTCTACAGAAACAAAGGAACATGCTTCACCAGAAAATCCAAAAATACGTCGACTATGCTGCTGCCTGCGGAGTTAATGTACTTTGCCTCCAGGAAGCCTGGGGTACGTGAATAAATTCTGAAAGATTTTTTACTTGAAAAGAGAGAAGTTTCACAATTCTCTTTCCGGGTCACTTCAAGATTCATCGATAATAAGATTTGATACATTTAAACAGCAGTCGTACAATCACGTATTCTATAGATAAATCATGTCACTTTTATCAGTTGACACGCTCTTTGTAGATTAGTCTTGAACTAATATGAGACGATCTGATAAGCTTGGCCCATGTGCTAACATCTTCTGATAATAGTTTTGTTCAGTGGAAAGATGCATAGAAAATGTTGTTCATTTATGCAGTTTCTCAAAGCATAAAATTATTTGAATAGAAAATTCAACTTTATACTTTTATAACTTATTATATTGATTTTCGTTGTTTGTATACTTTGACTCTCGAGTTGAGATATTGGATATTTGTATGAAAAATAGAATGTTCGATTTGCAGCTATGCCATTCATTTTCTGCACAAGAGAAAAATACCCCTGGTGCGAGTTTGCCGAGGAAGTTGGAACCGGTCCAACAACGGTATTAATGTCAGAGCTTGCCCAACGTCATGGCATGGTCATTATTTCTCCGATTTTGGAGAGAGACGTCGAGAATGGTGAAACCATGTGGAACACGTCAGTGGTGATCGGCCCGGACGGAAAAGTAATTGGAAAGCAGAGGAAAAACCACATTCCACGCGTAGGCGACTTCAACGAATCCACTTATTATATGGAGGGCAACACTGGACACCAAGTCTTCGACACTTGCTTCGGTCGCATCGGTATCAACATCTGTTACGGACGCCACCATCCACAAAACTGGATGATGTACGGTCTGAATGGTGCCGAGGTACAATCATTGTCCTACAAGTTTAAGAATATTACATAAATAGGCCTACTAATTATTTAAATTTGAATTTGCATAGATTGTATTCAATCCATCGGCAACCACCAGCCACACATCCGAGCCGCTGTGGTCCATTGAAGCCAGAAATGCCGCCATTGCCAATAGTTACTACACTTGCGCTATCAACCGTGTAGGAACAGAAATATTCCCCAATGAATTCACATCTGGAGATGGTGCACCAGCACACCACGACTTTGGACACTTCTATGGATCCAGCTATATCACTGCTCCCGATGGCACCAGGACACCTGGTTTGAGCCGCAGCAAAGACGGTCTCCTTGTCTGCGAAATGGATTTGAATCTCTGTCGTCAGATGAAAGATATGTGGTGTCTCAGAGTTAGTATCTTGTTTCTGATAGATTTGTCTTTCAGATTGCTCCTTTATTATATTTTCCTGTTCCAGATGACTCAAAGACTGGACATGTACGCCAAAGAACTTTCCGATTATGTGGAGAAGAACATGAACTTAAACGACACCACCAAATAAGTTCATCCATATTATGGAAAGCCTTACTAAAGGCTGTTCAAACGAGCTCTGTTTTTGATGCTCTAAGCAACAAAAAAATATGTAAAAAATATATACATATATTTTTTATAATACAGTGTACCAAAGTTCTTAAAAATCTATCCCCTATCTATAATATAAAGTCACTAAAAATTGATTTCGTATAAAGAATGATTTATTCAGTCATTTAAAAACGTTATAAATAGTATTTTGGAAAAGTGCGACTTACGTCTATGTCTATAAGTTAGATCGTTAGGTTAAAATTCTTTTTACATACTTACAAATATTGTGCTAATTTAATTATAAGTAATTATTACATCCGAAATTAACTAGTTGAACCAGCGATTACTGTTGTATTATGTGTCTGCTTGCGATAATGAAGCGCTTCCTGGTAAGCTTTCTTCACAGCTTTCCTATCAGCAGGTTTTCGCGATTCGATCAATTTCGCCTCGTCCAATTCTTGAGACACTCCAAGTTTCTCTAATTTTTCGCCTGGCAGCCATTGCCTGCAACGGTATATAACTTAAATATAAAAGCAGTTTAAAAAGGTTTACCAGTTAAGGTAAGTACTATTGCTCTTGCTGTGATTCTGTTTCCCATAAAGACTGTAATTGTATTGTGGGGGAATAAATTACCATGTCCGTTTGGTGTCGAAGAAGAGAACAAGAAATACTGGTTCCTTGTAATTGACTGCAAGCGCCAATACATCATCAGGCGGAGCTGGTATCGGTACACCTTTGTGTATGGTACCTCTAGGTGTGTTGGGATCTATTATCAAAGCTGGATACCATGGATAACCACGGCATTTGGCCCATACCAGCTGCAGAGCCTCTAATCCATTACTAGTCGCAGTTTGTTTGGTCTCAACTTCTTTCTTCGCCTCGCTTACTTCTTGCTTTTGTTTCTCCTCATCTGGATCCGGAGTGGTAGATCTACTTGTCGAACAACTGCTACAGCTCGACGATTGACTTTCACCTTCTCCTACATCACTGTCCATTGTTCCACTCCTGTAAACGTAAATCGTACTTTTCTCAATGTTATACTAAATAAAATGTCTAAGTAAACTCTCAAGTAAATAACTAATCGTAGCTATATTACTTTAAATATAGATAGAGAATTTCATATCTACCTATACACTTTAAAGCTATCGCTCTGTTTCTTTCTGTCATCCTCCATAACGAACATCTGATTGCTCCTACTTGCACGTGCTCTGGCTTTGCGAGTAAATAAGACCGCCGTTCGCCTGTTCACACCTCCACCACCTATTTCTTTCTCACCAAGCTGCAATTCTGCCTCGCCGCGACTTCTGTTGGTTCGATCCCTCTTTCTGGACTTAGATGCTGTTTGTTCAGATTCACTGACTGGATCCAGGTCGGGATAATCCTTACGAGCCTGCTCTATCAAAGCGCCTCCTTGCTCTTTCATTTTAATACCAGCTCGATAAAACATGGTATCTTTACGATTATATGCGAGACAATTGTTCACCATCAGATTGAAGTCGCCTTCGAAAGCACCGATCGTATCATATTCTTGTCTTTCTATTTTGGCCTAAAGTGTTACAAATTATTAGTTATACAAATCAAAACAATGAATACTTTTTCTTTTCGATGCGACAATTACCTGTATTGTAGAAAGATCCATGGGATGCGATACGATTTCCAAATAATCTGGAACTTCCTTTGTGTTCACTGGCTGTCCGAAAACATCATTCACATCTTTCGCTTTGATGGCCTCCAACAAAGTACGCAGGATACTTTCCAATGGACGTAGTTCAAACCAAAGACATTTTTCCTTTCTGTAAGATTAAATATCCTGTAATCTCTCGTTCAAATATCTATATGTGAATTAAATTCTATTTCTTCACAATAATCTTACACTTTGAATAATTCTTTCTTCAGCTTCTCACGCTTGCGAACTAATTCGCAGAGTAGCCGAGCACGCTCCAAATCTTGACGTAAACATTGCCAATATTTCAGCTGCCGATACAATTCTCCGCGTAATTCGCTGTCCGGTGGCGGTGATGAATGGTCCCCAAGCGGTGGAGGTCTGGATTGTGGATGTGAACTTTGTAGTCTTCTAAGCAGCGGTACTCCATTTCTGTTTTGACGTTTCAGGGTCCAATATGCTATGAGACGCTGTATCAATTGACTTTTCTTAGGCATCCCCTCAACTAAACTGATAAATGATACAAACATTTATAACGTACGAGCAGATAGAGACGATTAAACTAAATAGTATAATCATCTAATTATATTACCTAGCAATTTCCTTAATACGCTCGGGTGGTATGGTTGGAATAGAAATAACAGGTGCTGATGAGCTCTTTTTGTTCGCAATAGCTCTTCTTCTTGCATCAGCAGGATTAGTGGAAGGTTGATAATCAGGTGGTGTGTGTGCTTCGCAGTAAGCTGTTTTTTGAACTAACATTGGTTCTCCGTTTGCAGGTTGCACAGTCCTCATACGCATACAGAGACCAGCTTGCTGTGCACAAGTCACATGAAATGCAGCATAACAGTTGCTTTTGTGACACTGAATGCAAGCACCCGATCCTCGACGTTTACACACGCAACATGTGAGTCTCCATCTTGCGGCAGGTATACTTTCTACGCTATCTATAGGCTCCAGGAATACTGTATTAGCAAACCTTACTTCTGGTATCCACAGGGCACACACAACGTGAGCCCATGTAGCTGGACGATCGGTTTGTTTGAAAGCACCTCCTCTGTTAGGGCATAGAACACAATCAACGGCTCTCGAAGGACTTTGCAAGCATCTTCTGCACAACCACTGGCCTTCAGGAATGTATGGTACTCCGTAACAATCTTGATGTACAGCTAAATTGCACATATCACAAAACAATATTGCATTACTGTTTTGACATTCTCCATCCATACAGATGCAGCACACAGCATCCTCGTCAGCTGCTACTCCTCCACCTCCATTAGTCTGCTGTTGAAAATAAGATTCTTTTTCAAGTCGGTCCATTAACAATTCAAATGTGTCAGGCTCTAACGGCGGACTAAGTCCTGCCGCTAATCGTCTTTCATTGACTATAGACAGCCACGCAGTGTCTTCTTCATCCAGATCATATTCAACTTCACCTGAAGCAGTTTTAATCAGCATTAAAATGAATATTAATCCAATATTCAGTAATATATAATTAATTTTAATTATAGAAAAATAGTATGCGTACCATCAAGTTCTTCTCCACTACGTTCCATGAATCTAATATATGAATTGGGAAGTGGTTCTGCTTCTCCTAACTTTTCTTCATATCCTTCTATTTCCTTAAAAACTGCAACTGGTAAATTACTAAGCACATTCTTCTCATCCTCTTTTTCAGGTAAACCAGTACCTTTCGATGTCGTTCCTTTATCATCAAAACCATTTTCTTCTAAAGAAATAATGGGTATAGGTTCGTCAATTCCAATTTTGTATGTCTTGTCTTCTCCAAGTGGGGTTATCTTAATAGCAAATAACAAACAAAAATGTCAAATTCCATTTATACGGAGCTACTTCAGGTATCAAAAACCGAAATTATATGTAGCAGTAGTTATTTAAAAATAAATCACGGGTAAGTGTTTGTATTCTAAAATTTCATACCAAAACAAACTTCGATGACTCTTGAGTGTTTAACGGTTCAGCATTCAAAGGACTGGCATTATCGTTATTAATACCACCTACTCTATTTCTACCCTTCTTTTTGTTTGACTGCGGAGTGTTCATCTTTCTCAATTCGTTAATTCGCTTATTGTTTACCATAAACAAACAACGTGGTTATATCACTCGCACTTTACTTTCAAATCTCTTTTACATATGTTTCGCATTCACTTCGAATATTAGTGTCGAATAACTAATAAGTCTAGTCATTGTTTTTTTAGTCTGCACCAAGTTGGGAAAGTTTACATCCGTCTGTAACGAATGCGAAGAAGAAAGACTTGTGAACGTTTGAACGAATTAGTTAACCAATTTGAGCGGCAAACATAACGTGCATCGACATGTTAATACAATGATTAACACCTTATGTACCGACGCAGAAACTGTTTTCTGATTGGTAAATTACGAAAATCGAAATTTTTGTTTTATTACTAAATATACATCGATTATCTAAATATATTAATAAGAAATATAAACAGTTTACTCGCGTTCGAATGTTTTTTTTTTGAAAAATGTGCAAACAACGATACATTTTGAAATAGTGGAAAGTTGCCTTTACGCAACATAACATACAAAAACTATGAAGAAATTTATTATATTTACGTCTTGAATTAAGAATTCTCAAAGCCTAAATGAAAATATCAATGCTAAAATTTGATCCAGTTAGTTACAATGATCCCCTAATAAGATAAGAAGTCTTAAATTATAAGAGTTGATATCGTCAAATGAAAGATCCTAGGGTGTGTGCAGTTTCCATGTGAAATGCACACTGCAATTTGGCTCGATATACAATTCCGTTCATACAATTTTCGAATTAACGAACGTCAGAATTCGGTAAGCAGACAATAAAAAACAATTGCAGATTGTTTGCAGTTTATTGGTTGATGACGCCATTGGGTGGCCGTTTTGAAAAATTATTGAACCATTTCACTAAAAAGTGGTGCCGTCTAGTGGTAAAGGGTGTCCGGTGACTTGAACATAACACGGTCCCTGTTCAAGCTTGTCGACCCTGGTTCCGAGTAGTTCGCGTGTGGAGTGGGGGAGGGTAAGAGATCTAACTTTACACCAGTCATCGGCAGTATTTGTTCCTGTGCCCGCAGCTTTAGTCGTCTGTCTCGTAATCGAAAGTTTTCGTGCGAGGACTTAGTTTACGAGATAACCGATATCTGTGTTTTGTGAGAGTGCGGGTAGCGTTAACAGCAACTGGAATCGACTGGATTTACGACCGAGAGGCTCCATGCTTCGCTGAGAATTATGTCGGATACTGGCGCAGGATTACGATCGGTCACACGTCAAGTCAGCTGACATATTGCGCCCTGCTACACCGCAACAGCTCTTGGTAAGTGTCGCAATCGGTCTGCCCGCTCCTCAATCACGACTATTTTTATCTAATACCCATGAAATACGTGCACGCCTAACGTACACTCGATTTAATGGGCCGTTTCGCGAAATGCCTTCCGATCTAGCCGCCTCTTTGTCCCGTTCCCTCTCAAGCCACCGATTATATTCCCTTCTCTTATCCCGTCCCCTTTCCATTGATAACAAAGATGTCCGCGCGCTACGTAGTGTACAACCATTACACGGGACAAAGGGAACAACGACGCAATATCTGACCAAGTGCGTACACTCTCAAGGATGGAAGCCATGTCTCTGGTGTCCGTCCTGTTTCTTCGTGCTCTTTGACTGCGTGCGTGTGTGTCGTGTCCGTACGACGGTAGCACCGATACAATTCAAGCGCAAATGCACACGAATGCGTTTATCCTCCCTATACCCTTCCCCCGCCGCGGTTTTCATATCCCCTTCCGTGTACCCGCATCCGCACTGATCTTAAATCCCCTCCTCTCTGCCCTTCGTGCGCTCCCTGAGCTAGCGACGGACAGTTTTTACGGGCCGCCCTAAAACTCTTCTAATTACTGCGACGAAATAAAAATTCTGTGTTTATTCTGTGCCAATAATAGTACACAAGTATTCGTGCAGAATCAACGGTGTGTATAAAAACTGTCAGAATTAGATGGTTTTCGATCCGATTTCAAAATAATCCCGTACAATTGCGGGTGGTTGTGCCGAACTTTGATCGGGCACACAGCTCGAGCTCGTCGGTAATCCCGTTTGCAGTCGCGTCGGAGAAGCGATTTGCTCAGGTTGTTCGTTTCTGTGTTCGCCGCCGCGTTTGCTCAGTTCGATGCAGTTTCGCATGGAAAGTGGAGTTGGAGGCGGTTGTAACTCGCGACGTCTTGGACAATAGGAACAATAGGAACGGACACACGACGGACGAAGGGTGTCGCGGGACAGAGGAAGGTTTTACGATGTGATCGGTTGTATTCAATCGGATTTCGAACTATGGTGGCTGGCTCTGCCGTTGGCTTGTTTGTTAACGACGCGAGGTTAACGCGCGTGTAACCCTGCCTGTTTCGGTGTGTGGAAACACTAATAAGCTGCGCGGTCGGGCCCACACGTGTGTACGTCGAAGTTATCCCGAGCGGAATAGTCGCTCGCGATAGAAACGATTAGCAGGTTGACGCTTGTATACGCGTAGATTATAGAACCCAGCCACACCTCGCTTTCTTTCGCTGCTGGCGATGTCGTAAAATGGCTACATACACAATTATTGACGGAGAGTAACTTCAGCATCGCGTGATGTGATGCTTTCAGAGAATTTTACTATCGATAGTCGGTAGCGTGTGCTCCTGCTCGCTCGCTCGCTCGTGCGCGCGCCAGTGTTCTCTTTTACGTCAATGAAAGTATTCAGAGTCTTATACAATTTTTGCCACATGAGAATTCCTAATTAACCTATGTCCGTGTATTTTGTCGAGAAAAACGATTCCGTCGTGGCCAGCTTATCATTGAAAATGGACGTGCTTTAAAATCACGCGAATTGCGTACGTCATGCTCACTGAAGATATCCCTACCACGTGTCCACGTGCCACCGTAGCGCCGTACAATGTCTAAAAATTACTCTCGACTGTATAATATAGAAAATATCAAATGCGTGTTTCTACGATTGTCGTCGCGATTCGTATCTACGGGACAATTTCATAATTTCGTCCGTTAGAGCTTTGCGCGAAGGTTGCGCACATTATCGGAGGATACGACGGTTGTGAAACTGGAGGCACGCGGTAAACAATCAAATTGTAGACGAATTTTTATGTAGCTATCGATACAATTGCTTTTGAAAAAAACAATGTCATTCCCAAAATTTCCTTTCATCCGTGCGATGCGTGCCAGTCGCTGATTAGCAAGTTCTTCAAACGTTTGTCTCCGGATCAAATAGAAGGTTAACGAATTCTATATATTTTTTCTTATCGTTTCTAGCCGATTACTCGAAGTTGCACGATCTTGCATCAGAAAATTATTTTCGACCAGAGTAGACCAAGAAGATTTAGCTCATTGTCAGTCGACTATATGTGTAGGAAAGGTCGCAAACATGTTTTCCTGTTCCAAACAAAAGCGTCCCGATAAGTAAGCGGGAAGTGCGAGCGAGTCATTGTTATCCAGGCGGAATGAGTCAAACGTAGGCAATCGCAGTTAGAATCATCGGGGACATTTTCAGTCTGTTTCAACAATCTGTTCATGGCCTGTAGACACCGCGACGTTGATTGAACTAGTTCTAGTTACTTTCCGTTAGAGAATTTATGTAGACCATTTGCGTTCACTTAACCTTTTACTTTTCACTGAACAATGTCCATGTGTGGGCCCTGCCATGTTGCAAGTTGTGAACATTTCTATATCTCGTGCATTGAAAATCTAACGGACAGGGGAGAATTGGAACTACTCTAATTTTTGGTTTGTATTAAGGGTTTTATTGAATCTGTAATTTCGTGGAACACCTTGGGGGTATTTTAAGGTTCGACGGACAGGAGAGAATTGGAACTACTAATTTTTGGTTTGTATTAAGAGTTTTATTGAATCTGTAATTTCGTGAAACACCTTGGGGGTATTTTAAGGTTCGTGGACAGTAATGGTGGTAGGGATAGGACAGTAAGCTTAGGAAGACTGATGACGTTAAGGCTTATAGGGCGCAGATGATACATTGCTTCGTACACGATGTGTAACACTTGTTTGCGGAAAGACAAAGTCGAAAATGTTTGTATTTATGAGCAGCTCGGAGATGGGTGCATTATAAAAATAGTCCTTCGTGTGTACCGTGTGGACTATAAATAGCAACGAATAGTTGCAGATGGAAACGTGTGTTAAAGTTTTGGAAAAAAAGGACAACATGGTGAAAAATCTGAAATCTTCAAGGAGCACGTGACTAATCCGAGAGGAAGTGGCATGACTAGTAGATAAAATGACTCCAGAACATTCGCAAACGTTTGTCACAGAAATTTTTATCATGTTGCTTACGGAAATGAAAGTTTTTTGGGGTCATTCGTCACGCGTGTGCGCCTTATTTAAGCGTTAATACGTTAAACAGTTGATAACCCTGTTTCTCGTGAGATCCTTTGATATCTCAGAAATGTCGATTTTGCTGTTCGTCAATGACATAGTAATACTTTTATTTAAATACGAAAAAGCTTGAATTTGTTTCCGAGGTTTTCGTGCGGATCGGACAATGATATGTAAAACAATGTTACGCAATTAAGAAGACAATTTATTTATGTTATGTGTTAACGACGAACATGTTTCTCGTCACGTGAACGCATTGTTAATTTTGATACACGGCTATCTAGCTGTCAGATGTTTATTGCACGATTGCAATTCGACGGGCGACTAATATTAGAGCTCAAGATCGTTCGGTAATTGTACGTCAATGGCGAGTTAATTTCACTGATCACTTTAAACTTACGTCTCTCTCTTCTTTGTACCATGACAGAAAAAAAATGTTTATTCGACGCTTCCGGTTTATCGAACGTGAATCGCCATCTTCAATCACTACCGACCGAATGTAATTCATAACTAATTTTCCTGTTTTGCAATTTTTCACCAAACTGTATCCCCGAACAAGTATAAATAAATAAAGGACATTTTACTTCTCATCGAACTTTTAATATGTTTATCGACACGTGTCTCATCGAAGTGACGTTACCGTCTGTCAGTGAATTTAATGATTCAGTGATTTAACTAGCGAGAGAAAGGAATACACAGGGGTTTGATCTCGTATGTAACGGGAACTGAAAATGAATCAACGATCGGTGACTAAAGGGAAATTTCTCTTTCGCCAGTCGTACTTCTTTTTCCTGCAAATTACCCCCATCCTTTTGCGATTCGAGTTTGATTCATTTCTCAATTACTGGCGTGGTGTGACGTCACTTGGACTGAACTAACGGATTTAAATCCCGTTCATTTCGTTCTTTGGCCCTTTCACTGCGGGATTTCACCGAATCACGGACCCACTATGCAGAACGCAGTTAATTACTTATTTGTTGGAAACGATCCCTGATATCGGGCATCTCTTCGCCTGGTGTGTTTTGTTTAAAGCGTTCAAAGCAACAGGTTCGATAGCCGTTGTCGAAGGAAAAACTGATTTCCATGATCTGATTAATTAAATATGCGTATGTACGTACACCCACACATGTATTCGTATCACGATTAAACATTGTTGGTTGTTAATTGTTCAGTAATCCATTCTTCACGACGAGTATGGTTTTTAGACAGTGAAAGTGAAGACGTGTCTTTTAGTCTTAGAAGTGTGGATAGTTGTGTGCCGATCTGACATGTGTTGTAGTAATAATAAGAGAAAAGGAACGGTGGCAGAACAAAGAAAGCAACCCTCTTCTTTATCCTTTTATTTCATCTGTCGGCACGCATCAAAGAGCATGTAATTTTAATTTTATTCCGTCATGGAGCTAGCACTTGGCGCGACATCTGGTGGATCATTTGAAAGATACAGTATGTGTCGCCATGTAACGTTAGAGTATTATTAGACAATTATATAAAAACACGTATTAATTTTCCATTTTCCAAGAATTTCATCGCACAAAGATAATCGCATATATTATCGCAACATGTATAATAAATTAGAGCTTTACCTTTAGTTTTTGACGTTTTTTGGTGTAGAAAAGAAGAACTACGTATCTCTGATTCCATAATATTAAAAAAATATATATATTTAAAGTATGTATAATATATATAATTTTAATTAATTGCGTTTTATTATTTTATATATAAATGTCAAATAATTAAAAACGTATACGTTATTATAATTGACATTCAATATGTTTCTTATTCGTAGAAAATCCAATAAAACCATCAGAAATTAATATTCTTTTGCGCAATGGTCCAAAAATCGGTAATTTGTGGCCAAAATGAAAGATATTTTTGTGTCAATTTTTTTTAAATACAAATCTAATTTCTAATATATGATTTAACTGTTCAGCGTATAATTATTGAATATTTTTCGCACAAATTGTTCTTTTATCACAGGACTCAATTAGGAATTTTAAGAAACTTTTTCTTTAGCAAAAATCTCCGCAGATTTGTTAACGAGCTGTTCACGAAAAACAATCATAGGAACAAGTAGAGCTGGCCGCGACGACAATAAAAGGACTACGAAACCGCGCTCGAAACTTGTACAAGTCATCATACATGAAATTCTCCCCATTTTTTTTCACGTGTAAGTAATAATTTTAAGGAAAACGTCATTGGACTCTTATTCCAGTGAACATTTAGTCTTAACACCTAGTCTAAAGAACATTTCGTAATTTTTGGGACTCAAAATAATTAATAGTTTAAACGTGATAGCCGTTTGTATCTGTGTCGTGTGTCGCACTCCATGGGCACCGTATAAAATTTGTATGTGGTGTGTATGCTATATACGTTAATAATAAGTACTCATGAGTTTGTATGTAAATTTTCATTTTCACACGAAGTTTCTGAAAAACTAGAATGAAAGAAAAGTTTCCTTTGCCAACGAAAAAGATTACTCATTGGCAAAAAGAATGTAAAAATGCTATTAGACCTTGTCAATTGATACGTTTTCTTGCATTTGAAAAAAGTCTGCGTGTATCATAAAATCGTATAGATCTACTAAACTACTGGTAGATATATCCAGTAAATTATGTAAAAAATATTTTTCTTCAAAAATGTAAAGAATATCATTAAGAGAAAACACATCCATTTAGTTGTAAATCCATTTTATGCTCAAAACTCTGTGTCAGGAGGTCGATGCATTGACCTCGTACAATGTAAGATGAACTGCACAGGTGATCTGAATACTACGTAACGAACAGGGAGATACCTTCGTGGTGGTTAATCTAATGTTCACTATCACTGCACTATTCGCTAAACACTGATCACGTATTCTATGCTAATTAAGAACGAAGTTTCCTGGTTAAATGAATTTGTGACCCTGAAAAGAACAGATTGTTTTATAAGACGTGTTCGAAGTTCGCACCGTTAGCGGCATGTACCGCGATAGCACATTTTTTTTAACTACTCGCAGCATCACTGGTATAAACCCGTTGCACACATAAGAATGATTAAGAATATTATAATTACGATGTCTTTCTCATCTCTATACTTGGATTGAACTGCGGAAGACTGGCATGATGGCCGACGACGTATCGTTTTCTATCAGCGATTTTCAACTGTTTTCTATCGAAGCGAAGGTTTAATAGCAAAACTTTTCTTTCATTCTAACTTTTGTGCGACATGCAGAAATTAAAATTTTTTAGTTGATACCACGCAAAAATTTCGTATGGTACGTACGGAGTACGCGAGAATAAGGGTTATAGAGTTTTTCTGAAAATATCACTTACAGGTAGTAAAAGAAAATATGGAAAATTTTATGTATGCTGACTTGTACAAATTTCGAGCGCGGTACAAAACCTGAATGTAGACTTCTACCGTCGCGTACAGCTGGCTGTCTTGTCGTCATGGCCAGCGGTACTTGCTCACTGATTGGTCAGTGTTTTTCATAAATTTTCAGGAATCACCACTTTCAAGAGTTTACAATATTTTTGGAACACTCTGTATATCCTAACAGCATATTTGCTATTCTATTTTTGTAAAAGCACACCTGTCTTCTACAAACGCATTGCTTGAAAAGAAAATAGAAAGAAATCAATCTAAATTGTTATAAATCTTTCACTGGTCGTGTATATAGCTTACAATATGCGTATGACATACATAAATATCTAAAATATTTTTATTTACATGTATAATAGTATAATATAAAGTTACATGATTTCTTATAAACAATTAAAATAAGTAATTACATCAAATTTTATGATTTTGTCTTTATAGTATTATATTTGATCAAAGAGTCCTTTAAAAAATAAAAACTATGCAAATTTCGAATATCTGGAAGATCGTTGATACAATAAAAAAGAAAGAGAAAGAATTCATTATACAATTGAAGTTGAAAAATTGTGTTTTGGTCACAAATTTTTGGACCACTGTGCTGTGATACAATAATCTTGTTCGTCTAGTTTGATAAAATATCATATTGTGTGTTATTTGCAATCTTCCAAGACATTTGAATCGTTCGGATACTATCTCACGAATTCTATTTCCATCGCATGTGGACTAGTGTGTCTGTGTCGTTAATTGAATAAAGAAAAAGAAATAAAGTAATTTGCTAATTGAACGATTTATTTCATCGAAGCTATATGCCCTAACCTCACCGCTGCGGCGCGCTGCGAGCAGAGTCGCTCGGTGTGTCGTAGTTGGTTGCGCGTCCGCCCAAAGGCAGCAGATCCGTGCGATCGCCATCATGAAAACATTCGGCCGTCGTCGTCGTTATCGTTGTTTCTCCTCCGTCCTTGCAGGTTCCTCGGATTGAAGTAATATCGAGCGCTCGAGCGCGAAGTTGCACACAAAGAGCGAGAGAGAGAGACTGCGAGAGCGAGCACGGGCGCGCGCGAGAGAAAGAAACAGAGAAAGGGAGAGCTATTTGGTAACGTTTCGTTTTAGCTTGCTGCGAAGAGCATCGGGAGACAAAGCGAACGCGCGCATTTAGTGGCCAGGCGATTTGCGCCGAGATTCACGAACCAGGGCTTGAAGGAGAGACTCTCCCGAGCGACGGCTCTTCGCTATCGATGGCACGTCGTCTAACATCGCGATAAGGATACACGGGGAACCCACTTAAATGCCTCGAACCAATTCTTACTCCATGTTGTGCATTGGTTGCGACACGACTGCGTGTTGGAAAGTGAGTAATATCACATTTCCCGATCACGCCTCTTGCAATGGGACTTTATCGCGTTCGAACAGGAAAATCGAGTCGGTTGTGTCGATGATACGTCGCGCTCGAAACTCCTCCGTCCCCGCAGATTTCTTTCTCCTCGTCTGCCTTCTTCCCCTTTTTCTCGTACTACCCCGTCCACTGTTTTTCTCTCTCCTCATTCCTGATTCCCGAGTTTTACTTGCCCTTGGAGGAATCATTCTCAGCGATCACCACGAGGGGAACGGCCCTTGCTTTGTGATAATCGTTGTGCTGCTGACGATTTCTAATTCTCTGTGTTGACTGTTTTATATGTGTGTGTGTGTGTGTGTGTGTGTGTGTGTACATATATATATATATATATATATATATATGTGTGTTTTTGCACCAGTGAAAATTCGACATGAAATCTCCTGTGCTTATTCAGTTCCCCTTTTCTGCAGTATTACGGTCGTAGTTGATCACTCGCGTTTCCATAGATTGTATTCATCCTAAACATCTAGTGACAACTCATATTCCAAGAGAAATAAAAACGTGAGCAACTACACCCTCTGAATGTATATTTATGCGGATTCTTCATCAGTAAAGGAACCTGCGATAACAACAAAAGCTTTGTGCTAAGGTCCACTGTGATCTTTATTGTCTTTTGAAAAATCTTTAATCCTTTTATTAATATATCGGAGCAATACATTTGTAGTTGATTCAATTTAAAGTTGATATTTGATAAAGCGTTACAGAATTTTTAACGGTGGTTCTAACTCAAGACAATTCCATTTTTCTTCTGTCAAAAATTCATTAAATGTATTGATAGCTTGTGTAATTGTATTTATTATGTTTATTGAAAGATAAATAAATTATCTTTTAAGCATCAATCAAAACAATTAATTGTCAAGCTCATAAAGTTGAGAGCAACATTATAAATATGACCGTTCAATGCTTGGTGTAGTATATCTTAGTTTCTATATGTATGTTCAATACTGATTTATATACGTAGAATACTATTTTTTGCTACATACTATATTATGTCACAAGATCTATTGTTGTACATGTATTGCATATGTGATATTGTATATATATATTTAACATATGTGTAAGATAAGGAATAATTGCTTTCATTATTCAATTATTCAAGCTGTTAATGATCTCTCTTCTTTTCATTTGCACAAGCCATATTATGGCTTTTGTGTGTGTCGCTTATATATGTTATAAATAATATATATATATATATATAATATAAACAGATTGTACATAGGTTAAATGTATGTACAAACAAATGTTTCCTTTTCTCATTTGTGATATTAAAAAGAAAATTGATTTTGGTAGGTGAATATATGGTGACACGCGGTCGTGAAGGAGCAACCAGAGAGCGAGCTGTGGCAAGAGACACTTACTTATCCCTTATTTAGCTGATTGCAACTACTCGCTATTCGTCGAGTGATTGCAAATAATAAAGAAACAAGGACTTGTTTGATTGCAAAAGTTCTATTGGGATAAACAGGAGAAATGGAACGAGAGTCTAATCCAATGCAAGCTCTGTGCCGTAGTGGCTGTGGATTTTATGGCTCACCAGCCACAGATGGCCTTTGTTCTCTTTGTTATAAAGAAAACCTAAAAAAGAAGCAGCAACCTCCTGTGTCAGCTGCCACTGTACAGACATCACAGACCGTATCTGGTAACGCTGGCACGTTGCAAGGCGGTTTTGGTAGCCCTGCAGCTACAGGAACAACAGCCCAACCTACCATTCCTACTATACCTCAACCAACGACAGATCTACCCAATCCCAAAGAAGTAAGTCTAACAATATTTTTATTTTTCTACTAGTTGCATTAAAAAATAATGAGAGTGTTATAGATATTTGAATAAAGTATAATTACAGCTGACTATTATTTTATGCATAATAATTGAAGAAAATTATCTTTGGTGTTTTGTATGGTCTGATACCAAATAAAGTAGATATTTCCATAGCCATGTTTTATACTATTGTGACACATATATTGGCAGACTGGGTTACAAATTTCATGCATTATCTGATGACTTGAAAACTGCTAAGTCAGACTAATGTTTCCAATTTTCATTCAAACTAATTGAGGTTTACTAAGTGTGTATAAAATTCATTTATTGAAGACTGTTGTTTTCAATGAATTTTCAGAGTCATTTATAGAAATTCTATTATAGGCATCATATTATAATTTAATATTGCATGTATGAAATTGTCAGATGAGTTCTCATATTAAGAGACAGTTTTATTTTAAGCCATGCTTAGGAAGTTCACTGCTCATTATTATATTACTATAGTTTAGTACATTCTAAACTTTTTTCAGGAAGTAGTATAAAACAAAAATGTGTTTATGAATAGAAGAATTAATGTTTTACCTATCACAAGGTTATTAATGAGTTCTTTCATGATTGTACTACATATAAAAACAAATGTTTAATGATTCTATTTGAGAAAAAATTATTAGATATGAGATAACTTGCAAGAGGTTTATAAATGAGGTTGAAAAATTGTGGAAGAAGCTCTTAAAACGTTATTATATTAGTAAAAGTCCAGTTATTAATTGTGCTGCGTTTCGACAGATAAACAGGGAAGATCAAGAAAGTGAAGTAGGCATAAGCAGTGGAGCAGTAGCAGAAGGTTCAGTGAGTAGCGGGGACGCAGACGACTGCTTTGACGGCAAAGAGACTGACAAAGAATCTAAGAAGAAGAAAAATCGTTGCGCAGTGTGTCGCAAAAAAGTTGGTTTGACCGGTAGGTGAACCTATGATTATAAATCATTATTGCCGTTTATAAATATCTATGCAATTTTCTCAATCATTTTTCAGGATTTGAGTGTCGTTGTGGAGGACTGTTCTGCTCTGTGCATCGATACAGTGACAAGCACGACTGCAAGTTTGATTACAGAGAAATGGGCGCTCAAGAAATTCGGCGCAACAATCCAGTTGTTGTTGGTGAAAAAGTGCAAAAAATTTGAACTATTTAGTGCGTAGTCGTTGGGAAAATGGTTATATAACTATATAAACAAACAGAATATAAAACGGAGAAAACGAGATAAATTATCTGGCAGCTGATTGCACGTCGAGGGGCGAAACGGGTGAATGCGAGTTCATGAACGAAAGAGAACGACGCGGAAATACGTGTACGTGCTTGCGTGAGTGAGACGAAGAGAGAAAGCTGATTTAGTGAGAATGTAAAAAGACGAGCGAGATAGCTAAATACACATATGAGCAAGAGAGAGAAAGAAAGAGAGAGAGAAGAGAGAGAGAGAGAATGAGTAGTAAAATTAATATGTAATACACGGTATATATATACGCGGTTAGGGAAATGAGGAAAAAATGAAATTTTCGCAGAAACGGATACGAAACGAGTTACAAAAGATGATAGAACAAATGAACATTTGGAGTGCGTGCCGCGTGTACGAATGCTTCGAAAAATCGGATGCCAGTGCCATGTCAGTTTGTCATCTTATCGAGAGTTTTAATCGAGAATATATTTGGTTCTAACTGCTGCCAGCTTACTACACTACTATTACCTATTATTATGTACAACTATTACGGTTTATTATTATTCTATATTATGTTTATTAATTTACTTAAACGCAAAATTTGCATAAGAGACAGCGAGAGAGAGAGAGAGAGAGAGAGAGAGAGAGAGAGAAAGAGAGTGAGAGAGAAAGGAAGTGTTAGAGACAAAAAGAAAGAGAGAGAGAGAA